TACATGTCTGCTGACCACTTGATGATTTCTGGTTTATTGTTTATATGTCTGTCTATTTTTAAAGACTTTACATGAATGCTGACCACTTGATGATTTCTGTCTTATTGTTCATATACCTGTCTATTTTAAAGACTTTACATGTCTGCTGACCACTTGATGATTTCTGGTTTATTGTTCATATGTCTGTCTATTTTTAAAGACTTTACATGTCTGCTGACCACTTGATGATTTCTGGTTTATTGTTCATAGACCTGTCTATTTTAAAGACTTTACATGTCTGCTGACCACTTGATGATTTCTGGTTTATTGTTCATATGTCTGTCTATTTTTAAAGACTTTACATGAATGCTGACCACTTGATGATTTCTGGTTTATTGTTCATATACCTGTCTATTTTAAAGACTTTAAATGTCTGCTGACCACTTGATGATTTCTGGTTTATTGTTCATATGTCTGTCTATTTTTAAAGACTTTACATGTCTGCTGACCACTTGATGATTTCTGGTTTATTGTTCATAGACCTGTCTATTTTAAAGACTTTACATGTCTGCTGACCACTTGATGATTTCTGATTTCAGGTTTATTGTTCATAGACCTGTCTATTTTTAAAGACTTTACATGTCTGCTGACCACTTGATGATTTCTGGTTTATTGTTCATATGTCTGTCTATTTTTAAAGACTTTACATGTGTGCTGACCACTTGATGATTTCTGGTTTCTGGTTTATTGTTCATATACCTGTCTATTTTAAAGACTTTACATGAATGCTGACCACTTGATGATTTCTGATTTATTGTTCATATGTCTGTCTATTTTAAAGACTTTACATGTGTGCTGACCACTTGATGATTTCTGGTTTATTGTTCATATGTCTGTCTATTTTTAAAGACTTTACATGTCTGCTGACCACTTGATGATTTCTGATTTATTGTTCATAGACCTGTCTATTTTTAAAGACTTTACATGTGTGCTGACCACTTGATGATTTCTGGTTTATTGTTCATATGTCTGTCTATTTTTAAAGACTTTACATGTCTGCTGACCACTTGATGATTTCTGGTTTATTGTTCATGTACCTGTCTATTTTTAAAGACTTTAAATGTGTGCTGACCACTTGATGATTTCTGGTTTCTGGTTTATTGTTCATATACCTGTCTATTTTAAAGACTTTACATGTCTGCTGACCACTTGATGATTTCTGGTTTATTGTTCATATACCTGTCTATTTTTAAAGACTTTACATGTGTGCTGACCACTTGATGATTTCTGGTTTATTGTTCATAGACCTGTCTATTTTTAAAGACTTTACATGTGTGCTGACCACTTGATGATTTCTGGTTTATTGTTCATATGTCTGTCTATTTTTAAAGACTTTACATGTGTGCTGACCACTTGATGATTTCTGGTTTCTGGTTTATTGTTCATATACCTGTCTATTTTAAAGACTTTACATGAATGCTGACCACTTGATGATTTCTGGTTTATTGTTCATAGACCTGTCTATTTTTAAAGACTTTACATGTGTGCTGACCACTTGATGATTTCTGGTTTATTGTTCATATGTCTGTCTATTTTTAAAGACTTTACATGTCTGATGACCACTTGATGATTTCTGGTTTATTGTTCATATGTCTGTCTATTTTTAAAGACTTTACATGTCTGCTGACCACTTGATGATTTCTGGTTTATTGTTCATATGTCTGTCTATTTTTAAAGACTTTACATGAATGCTGACCACTTGATGATTTCTGGTTTATTGTTCATATGTCTGTCTATTTTTAAAGACTTTACATGTCTGCTGACCACTTGATGATTTCTGATTTATTGTTCATAGACCTGTCTATTTTAAAGACTTTACATGTCTGCTGACCACTTGATGACTTCTGGTTTATTGTTCATATGTCTGTCTATTTTTAAAGACTTTACATGTCTGCTGACCACTTGATGATTTCTGGTTTATTGTTCATATGTCTGTCTATTTTTAAAGACTTTACATGAATGCTGACCACTTGATGATTTCTGATTTATTGTTCATAGACCTGTCTATTTTAAAGACTTTACATGTCTGCTGACCACTTGATGACTTCTGGTTTATTGTTCATATGTCTGTCTATTTTTAAAGACTTTACATGTCTGCTGACCACTTGATGATTTCTGGTTTATTGTTCATATGTCTGTCTATTTTTAAAGACTTTACATGAATGCTGACCACTTGATGATTTCTGGTTTATTGTTCATATACCTGTCAATTTGTAAAGACTTTATATGAATGCTGACCACTTGATGATTTCTGATTTCTGATTTCTGGTTTATTGTTCATTTACCTGTCAATTTTTAAAGACTTTACATGAATGCTGACCACTTGATGATTTTTGATTTTTGCCTAATTGTGTGGTAAACTGACTGACGTAATCCCTTGTAATTTCATTGATTTTTTAATCCTATATCATTATTTCATTAAATACAATAACATAGTTTTAATATTCTCCATCATTATTTTGTTTTGAAAAATTAGATTTTGTATTAAATTGTCCTGCTCAATAACACAAGTCAAAAGATACATTTCATTGTATGCCATAATAACTGTCATAAATTGTGCACAATAAACCAAGGCTAGAAGGACAGATATGTATGATTTAATGTCCAGTATCAACTATTACATGCATATTCAAAACAAGAATTTATTTATGTGATATGAATATGAACCCTGCTTTGTCTAAGACCCAACATGTTAAGCATGATTTGTAACATCCTAGTTCACAAGGTTACAGTTAGCAGGAAGACATTTCACCTTATCCACACTAATTATTATGACTCAGAGCTGACAAGTCTCTGCTCTTACTTTTAAATGCAGTTTGTTTGGTTCGACTATAGAGATTTGAACACATAACCTCCTTCACTATGGGCGAGCACATAATCATGAGATGGTTCTTAAATCTAGAAAGTTGAGAGCTAGACATCCAAAGATCTTATATCAACACTGAATAGACACAGGTACAGGTCAACATATTACATGAATAAAATTTGGTGTAAACATGGTTCTCACTGAACTGGCCTCCAGGCCTATAGCTAGGGCCTATGATAATTTTTCTAGGTCTTCTATTATTTGCATTTCAAGTGTCTTTGTGACCTGTATTTGGCTTTTATTGACTACTATAGTAATATTTGATTTCTAATCACAAGAAAATGATTTGATTTGATTTTGATTTTTGGTGTTTTAATGCCACTTTTAAGCACTGCTTTTGGGCTATTTCGTGGCGGCCAGTTTTTATTGGTGGAGGAAGCCGGAGTGCCCGGAGAAAACCACAGACCTTCGATAGGAAAACTGACAATCCTAGTCAATTAAGATTGGAGTCTAGTGCAGCCGCACGAGCGGAGTTTGAACTCACAACCTCAGTGTTGACTGGCTGGTGATTACAGTAGTAACTGCTTAGACCAATTGGCCACCGAGGCCCCTTTACAAGAAAATGAAGTCATTTACAATCTTAATTACATTTGATTACTCATCTTTATTTATACCAGCTGTGAGCATGATAACACCTTGATATAAAAGATAGAATTGATGACTTAGGATTTCTTTTTACCATCAACAGCTGTTTATATTTTAATTAGTTATTGACAAATAATGGAGATGTCAGAATTAATCACACAATATCACCAGGCTATTTTTGTCTGTGTGCTTAAAATTGATATGATCAAACATTGTATTTATCAGATTTTAGTACTAAAAATTGATATGGTAATTTTTTGGGTAGAGATAACTTTATGCAACTAAAACTCTAATATGGCTGGATTGATATTTATCAATTTCTTAGACTATATCACTACTTTTGTGATAAAAAATAACAGTGCATTGAACACAACATTCTCGAAATCCAACTATTAAAATATATACTATGTATACACAGATATTCAAGTTACAAAATGATATATATGTATGTAACCATACTTGTCAAGAAACTTAACATAAATTGTGCATGGTGCTTGAACCTAGTATCTGTTCTTAAAATATCAGTAATCATGAAAATGTAATTGTAAAAGTATTGTTTGAAATATCAATAATGTTATTGTAAAAGTAAAGTCATTGTAAAATATCAATAATGTCATTTTAAAAGTAATGTTCATGTTGTTTAAAATATCAATAATGTCATTGTAAAAGTAATGTTTAAAATATCAATAATGTCATTGTAAAAGTAATGTTTAAAATATCAATAATGTAATTGTAAAAGTAATGACTATGTCATTGTAAAATATTAATAATGTCATTGTAAAAGTAATGACTATGTCATTGTAAAATATCAATAATGTAATTGTAAAAGTAATGTTTAAAATATCAATAATGTAATTGTAAAAGTAATGACTATGTCATTGTAAAATATTAATAATGTCATTGTAAAAGTAATGACTATGTCATTGTAAAATATCAATAATGTAATTGTAAAAGTAATGACTATGTCATTGTAAAATATTAATAATGTCATTGTAAAAGTAATGTTTAAAATATCAATAATGTCATTGTAAAAGTAATGTTTAAAATATCAATAATGTCATTGTAAAAGTAATGTTTAAAATATCAATAATGTAATTGTAAAAGTAATGACTATGTCATTGTAAAATATTAATAATGTCATTGTAAAAGTAATGTTTAAAATATCATGTTTTATTCAATGCTTAAAATATTACATGTACAGAATTTCAGTGCAGATAAAAAAAATATAAAGTTGTCTTCCTATAAATAAGTGATTTGAAAACCCCCAAAATACCAGACACAATGATTAGATAGCAACAGTATAATTATAACCTTTATCAGAAAGTTTATCAATGGCAAAAAGAAAGATTTGAAGACGATTCCTAAACTTATAATTCAGTGATTTTACATCATGCAGCATGAATTAATTCTAATCTAGGTCATATGCAGCACAGACATTTATCATTATGACTACAATATGTAAAGTTGGATATTTATTATGGAATTTTATTGATTTTTTTTGTTGTTGCAGACATTACTACCTGTGGTTAATGTTCCTATGTTGGATTATACCCTGGAATTTTTGGCAGCCGGAGGAATCCAAGAAATCTTTGTCTTCTGTTGTCATTTAGCAGACCAGATCAGAACACATATCAGGTATGTCCAGTCAGATCACATATCAGGTATGTCCAGTCAGATCACATATCAGGTATGTCCAGTCAGATCACATATTGAGTATACCTAGTCAGACTGCATATCAGAAAACCCCAGTCAGATCACATATCAGATAACGCTCAGATCACATATCAGATATACCCAATCAGAACACATATTAGATATACCTAGTCAGAACACATATCAGATATACCTAGTCAGAACACATATCAGGGATACCCAGTCAGAACACATCAGATATACCTAGTCAGAACACATATCAGATATACCTTGTCAGAACACATATCAGATATACCTAGTCAGAACACATATCAGATGTACCTAGTCAGAACACATATCAGATACACCTAGTCAGAACACATATCAGATATACCTAGTCAGAACACATATCAGATACACCTTGTCAGAACACATATCAGGTATACCCAGTCAGAACACAAATCAGGTATACCCAGTCAGAACACATATCAGGTATACCCAGTCAGAACACAAATCAGGTATACCTAGTAAGAACACATATCAGGTATACCTACTCAGAACACATATCAGATATACCCAGTCAGAACACATATCAGATATACCTAGTCAGAACACATATCAGGTATACCTATTCAGAACACATCAGATATAACTAGTCAGAACACATATCAGATATACCTAGTCAGAACACATATCAGATATACATACTCAGAACACATATCAGATATACCTAGTCAGAACACATATCAGGTATACCTAGTCAGAACACATATCAGATATACCCAGTCAGAACACATATCAGTTATACCTAGTCAGAACACATATCAGATATAACTAGTCAGAACACAAATCAGGTATACTTAGTCAGAACATATATTATGTACACTCAGTCAGAACACATATCAGATACTTAGTCAGAACATATATCATGTACACTCAAGTCAGAACACATATCAAATACTTAGAACATATATCATGTACACTCAGTCAGAACACATATCAGATACTTAGTCAGAACACATATGTATACTCAGTCAGAACACATGTATACTCAATCAGAACCCATAACAGATTTACCTAGTCAGAACACATATCAGATATACCCAGTCAGAACACATCAGATATACCTTGTCAGAACACAAATCAGATATACCTAGTCAGAACAAATATCAGGTATACCTAGTCAGAACACATAAGATACCTAGTCAGAACACATATCAGGTATACCTAGTCAGAACACATATCAGATATACCTAGTCAGAACACAAATCAGGTATACTTAGTTAGAACACATATCAGGTATACCTAGTCAGAACACAAATAAGGTATACTTAGTCAGAACACATATCAGATATACCTAGTCAGAACATATATCATGTACACTCAGAACACATATCAGATACTTAGTCAGAACACATATGTATACTCAGTCAGAACACATGTATACTCAATCAGAACCCATAACAGATTTACCTAGTCAGAACACATATCAGATATACCTAGTCAGAACACATATCAGATATACCTTGTCAGAACACAAATCAGATATACTTAGTCAGAACACATATCAGGTATACCTAGTCAGAACACATAAGATACCTAGTCAGAACACATATCAGATATACCTAGTCAGAACACTTATCAGATATACCTAGTCAGAACACTTATCAGATATACCCAGTCAGAACACATATCAGATATACCTAGTCAGAACACATATCAGATATACCTTGTCAGAACACATACTAGGTATACATAGTCATATTTTTTAAGACTTTGAGAATATCAATGCATTGTTCTTCAAACTAGAGGGTTTTTCTTTGCAACAATCTAATAGATGGGTGCCAGTCTTGAGATGAGATGTAGCAGAGAAACATCCGTAAGATTGCAAGACCAATGATGTAGGCTAATGACATCACACATCCTTTTTCTACTCAACTGAGAAAATTCACATTTTTAAGAGCATTTTAATTGTAGCCTGTTTATCTTGAAATCTTTGATTGCCTATAACACATAAAACATCAATATTTGTTTTACAGAAATTCCAAATGGAATGATAGTTCCTCACCATGTACAGTAACACCTATACTGTCTGAAGGATGTTTGTCAATGGGAGATGCCATGAGGGAGATTGAGGATAAATCACTGATCCGTAGTGATTTCATCCTGGTCTATGGTGACATTGTCTCTAATCTGGACCTAAGGTCTATTATACAGGAACACAAGTAAGTCAGTTGATTGACTAATGATAGTCTCTAATCTGGACCTAAGGTCTACTATACAGGAACACAAGTAAGTTAGTAGATTCACCAATGATTGTCTGTAATATGGACCTCAGGTCTATTATACAGGAACACAAGCTAAGTAAGTTAGTAGATTGACCAATGATGGTCTCTAACCTGGACCTCAGGTCTGTTATACAGGAACACAAGTAAGTTAGTAGATTGACCAATGATGGTCTCTAATCTGGACCTAAGGTCTATTATACAGGAACACAAGTAAGTTAGTTAGTAGATTGACCAATGATGGTCTCTAACCTGGACCTCAGGTCTATTATACAGGAACACAAGCTAAGTAAGTTAGTAGATTGACCAATGATGGTCTCTAATCTGGACCTCAGGTCTATTATACAGGAACACAAGCTAAGTAAGTTAGTAGATTGACAATGATGGTCTCTAACCTGGACCTCGGGTCTATTATACAGGAACACAAGTAAGTTAGTAGATTGATCAATGATAGTCTCTAATCTGGACCTAAGGTCTATTATACAGGAACACAAGTAAGTTAGTAGATTGACCAATGATAGTCTCTAATCTGGTCCTAAGGTCTATTATACAGGAACACAAGTAAGTTAGTAGATTGACCAATGATAGTCTCTAATCTGGTCCTAAAGTCTATTATACAGGAACACAAGTAAGTTAGTAGATTGACCAATTGTGGTCTCTAATCTGGACCTAAGGTCTATTATACAGGAACACAAGCTAAGTAAGTTAGTAGATTGACAATGATGGTCTCTAACCTGGACCTCAGGTCTATTATACAGGAACACAAGTAAGTTAGTAGATTGACCAATGGTGGTCTCTAATCTGGACCTCAGGTCTACTATACAGGAACACAAGTAAGTTAGTAGATTGACCAATGGTGGTCTCTAATCTGGACCTAAGGTCTATTATACAGGAACACAAGCTAAGTAATTTAGTAGATTGACAATGATGGTCTCTAACCTGGACCTCAGGTCTATTATACAGGAACACAAGTAAGTTAGTAGATTGACCAATGATTGTCTCTAATCTGGACCTCAGGTCTATTATACAGGAACACAAGTAAGCTAGTAGATTGACCAATGATGGTCTCTTATCTGGACCTAAGGTCTATTATACAGGAACACAAGTAAGCTAGTAGATTGACCAATGATAGTCTCTAATCTGGACCTAAGGTATATTATACAGGAACACAAGTAAGTTAGTAGATTGACCAATGATAGTCTCTTATCTGGACCTAAGGTCTATTATACAGGAACACAAGTAAGTTAATGGACCATCGATTGTCTCTAATCTGGACCTAAGGTCTATTATACAGGAACACAAGTATGTTAGTAGATTGACCAATGATAGTCTCTTATCTGGACCTAAGGTCTATTATACAGGAACACAAGTAAGTTAATGGACCAATGATAGTCTCTAATCTGGACCTAAGGTCTATTATACAGGAACACAAGTAAGTTAATGGACCAATGATTGTCTCTAATCTGGACCTAAGGTCTATTATACAGGAACACAAGTAAGTTAATGGACCAATGATTGTCTCTAATCTGGACCTAAGGTCTATTATACAGGAACACAAGTAAGTTAATGGACCAATGATAGTCTCTAATCTGGACCTAAGATCTATTATACAGGAACACAAGTAAGTTAGTAGATTGACAAATGATAGTCTCTAATCTGGACCTAAGGTCTATTATACAGGAACACAAGTAAGTTAATGGACCGATGATTGTCTCTAATCTGGACCTAAGGTCTATTATACAGGAACACAAGTAAGTTAATGGACTCACTTATTCCTTACTGTGGATTCATTTATTTTCGTGGATACCAATTTTCATGGATCGAGGAAAAATTATATTTTCCTGGATATTTGATACCAATGTTTTGCTAAAGTCTACATACAAGCCTATAGAAAATTTGAACTTTGTTGAACCTTTAAATTAGTTGTTTTCGCCTTTACCCACAAAATCTACTTACATTGGTATCCCATGAATAATAATGAATTCACTGTAAATCACTATTCTTTCCTCAAAAGATGTAAAACAAATTATTGCCAAATCATTTTTATACAACCGCAAAAAATTTTTGCGTTGAAAAATGCTATGGTGTCATCGGCGTCGTCCGAAGACACATTTGGTTTCCGGAGGACAATAACTTTAGTTTAAGTGAATGGATCTCTAAGAAATTTTACCAGAAGGTTTAATACCACAAAAGGAAGGTTGGGATTGATTTTGAGAGTTATGGTACCAACAGTTTAGGAATTAGGGCAAAAAATAAGCATTTTTATAGTTTCCGTACAATAAATTGTGTGTTAGTGTATAGATATCTCAGAAATTGTACCACATGGTTCCATATCACAAAGGGAAGGCTGGGATTAAGTTTGGGGGTAATTGCCCCAACGGTTCAGGAATTAGGGGCCAAAAACAAGCATTTTTCTAGTTTCCAGACAGTAACTTGTGTTTAAGTGTATGGATATCTCTAAAATGGTACTACAAGCTTCCATACCACGAAGGGAAGGCTGGGATTAATTTGGGGGTAATTACTCCAAGGGGGAGGGGGTTCAAAAAGTTTGGGGGGATTTTTTTTCCCCATTTTTATGGGGGGTTCATATTTTTTTCTTCAAAATTTTTGAAATTTCAAATGATTGTACAGTATTGCGCAATTGCAAGAAATCTTCAATTGCACAGTATTGAGCAATGGCACAGTATTGGGCAATAGCAAGAAATCTTCAATTGCACAGTATTGTGCAATAGCAAGAAATCTTCAATTGCACAGTATTGCGCAATAGCAAAAAATCTTCAATAGCACAGTATTGCGCAATAGCATAGTATTGTGCAACAACAAAGTATTGCGCAATAGCAAGAAATCTTCAATTGCACAGTATTGCATAAATAACCAATTTCAATGGGATTAATTTAAAGTTTTTTAATTTTTGGGGGTTCTAACCTTGTATTATTTTTTTGGATATTGGGCCCCATTTTTAAATTGGTCTACATAGAGGTCAAAAGGGTCCAAAATTAAACTTTGTTTGATTTCATCAAAAACTGAATTATTGTGGCTGTATGATATGCTGAATTTTATTGTGCATTTAGATTTTTTATTTTGGGCCCTGTTTTCAAATTAGTCCATATTAAGGTTTGAAGGGTCTAAAATTAAACTTTGTTTGATTTCAACTAAAATTAAATTTTTGGTGTTTTTTTATATGCTGAATCTAACCATGTTGTTAGATTTTGGATATCAGACCATTCTAGGTAAATTAAATGTCCCATTTCAAATTTTTAAGATCTTTGACCACATTTATTTTGTGTCAGGAACCTATACTATGTCAAAATTTTATCACAATCCAAATTCAGACAGTATCAAGCTTGAATATTGTGTCCAAACTTGCCCCAACTGTTCAGGGTTAGACCTCTGCGGTCGTATCTGGCTGTGCTCAGCAAAGCATTTTATTTTTATATATTTGAAATGATCAACCTACCAGGATATGACAGCTTATTGTTAAACAATTGATACATAATAAACTGTATAATTGAAAACATCAGTAAAGTATAAAGTATAATGACAAAAATTGTGAAATTTGTTTTTCATCAAATATCCTTTCAGAAAATTCTATTCAAAAGTGAATTCTTTATTCTACATTGGCTAGAGGTATAGGGGGATGGTTGAGATCTCACAAAACATGTTTAACCCCTCCGCATTTTTGTGCCTGTCCCTAGTCAGGAGCCTCTGGCCTTTGTTAGTCTTGTATGTGTTTTTGATTTTAGTTCATTTATATGTTTTGGAGTTTAGTGTGACGTCCATTTTCACTGAACAAGTACACAATTTTATTTAGGGGCCAGCTGAGGACCACCTCCAGGTGAATGATTTTCTCGCTGCGTTGAAGACTCAGCTGTTGTCTGCTCTTTGGTCAGGTTGTTGTCTCTTTGACATATTCCCCATTTCCATTCTCAATTTTATCTCCTTCTTTAAAGGTTTGAAAAGTCAACTCTTATCTTCTTTTCTTTATATCATACATGAATTGTGTTTTCAGAAGAAGAAGAGAGAAAGATAAGAATGCTGTTATGACAGTTATTATGAAGAAAGCTCCCCCTGGTCATTGTTCACGGTGTAGGGAGGACGATTCACTAGTGGCCATTGACAGTACAAACGACCGCATACTTCACTACCTCAAAACAGGGAACCAGAAAAAATTACAACTACCTGTGGTTTGTTTTGTTTGTTTTTTTTTTCTTCTTAATTATCATGAAATAAGTTTATTATTTCAAATAAGTCAATAAATAATAGGGGAAAAAAGAATGGTAGGAAAAAGCTAATACATATGATATCAACAAATGATAAAAACACTTCAAAGTTTACCAGCAACTTACATTAGGCATCAGGGAGAAAGTTAAGTTTTATTTGTTTGTCAAACTTTATAGTTAAAGATACAGCATAGAATTTTAGGCGGGGTCAAATTTCACGTTTTTTAAAATGCTGCAAACAGGTTTTAAGTGAAAATTAAACACACACGAAAAAAAAAACAAGATATACGGTAATTGTTTGTTCTCTTTACAGGAAGTTTTAACAGACAACAAAAACGTACAGTTACGGTATGACCTTTTGGATTGTCAGATAAGTGTTTGTTCTCCACAAGTTCCGGCTTTATTTAAAGACAATTTTGACTATCTTAGTCGGGATGATTTCATTAAAGGCATCCTCATGAATGAAGAGGTAATTTATACTAAGAATGAAAGAGGATGAGGGGTAAATGTTAATGAAAATGCAACACAAACACACTTTGAATAGACATCTATATATAGCTCACCTTGAATGGTATCACCATTTTAGGTACTGCCATCACTATTTCTATTGCAATGGCTATTGTGTCCAAGATGACAGTTTTTTCATCATTTTCCTTCATTGGAATTATTTTATCAACAGATTTTTCAGTGTTAAAGAGAGGAATACACTGTTTCATAATCTTTAGAATTCTTGGTAGGGTTGTTTAGAATACTCACCATATTAGTATATGGTCATGCATGCTCAGCCTACAATAGTAGAGGGGAATTATGTATTCCTGTTTAAAGTTTGTCTGTACCTTATCAGGATAATGTTTTGGTTTTAGGTAGGTTAAAGTTAAGATTTTATGTAGTTTGTGGTCACATTGACTTGAAACTTCATACACATGTTAATTTTTTAGTGAAATGTTTAATATATATGCCAAATTAGTGTTTTGACCAAGATTTCGCAGTTCACAGAACATAGAAATGTTAAAATTCAAGTGGAGCATGGTGTCCTATTAACACATATTTTTCATGCATGTTTATTTTCATTAAGAGTGCCATTTTTTTTATACGACCGCAAAAATTAAAAATTTTTTGGTCGTATATTGGTATGACATTGGCGTCGTCGTTGTCGTTGTCGTCGTCTGGCGTCGTCCGGCGTCGTCCGAAGACACATTGGTTTTCGCACTCTAACTTTAGTTTAAGTGAATGGATCTCCATGAAATTTTACCATAAGGTTCAATACCACGAAAGGAAGGTTGGGATTGATTTTGGGGGTTATGGTACCAACAGTTAAGGAATTAGGGGCCAAAAAGGGGCCAAAAATAAGCATTTTTGTAACTTCCAGACAATAACTTGTGTGTAAGTGTATTTACTCTCTGACATTGTACCACAAGGTTCCATATCACAAAGGGAAGGCTGTAATTGATTTTGGGGGCAATTGCCTCAAAATTTTAGGAATTAGGGGCCAAAAAAGGGGCAAAAAACAAGCATTTTTCTAGTTTCATGACAATAACTTGTGTGTAAGTGTACGGATATTTCTGAAATTGTACAACAAGGTTCCATATCACAAAGGGAAAGCTGGAATTGAGTTTGGGGGTAATTGCCCGAAACGTTTAGGAATTGGGGGGCCAAAAAGGGGCCAAAAATAAGCATTTTTCTAGTTTCCAGACAATAACTTGTGTTCAAGTGTATGGATCTCTCTGAAATTGTACTGCAAGGTACCATACCACAAAGGGAAGGCTGGTATTGAGTTTGGGGGTGATGAATCATAAGGGGGTTCAAAAAATTTGGGAGGGGGGATTTTTTGTTTTTGTTTTTTTTTGTTTTTTTTCCTTTTTTTTTTTCTTTTAAAATTTTCCATTTTAAGTTGGTTATTTCTGATTAATATTTAAAAGCAAATAATAATGATATGGTAGGAGATACACACCAAACAGGATGTGTAAATTATTATATAATAAGTATTGTGCAATAGCAAGAAATTTTCAATTGCACAGTATTGCACAATAGCAAGAAATCTTCAATTGCACAGAATTGCGCAATAGCAAGAAATCTTCAATTGCACAGTATTGCGCAATAGCAAGAAATATCCAATAGCACAATATTGCGCAATAGCAAGAAATTGTCAATTGTACAGTATTGCGCAATGGCAAGAAATATTCAATTGCACAGTATTGTGCAAAAGAAGATACTTCGTATAAATTGCTTATTTCTTGATCAATTTCAATGGGGTTTATTCTTGAATTCTTGGGGTTCTTTAATATGCTGAATCTAACCGTGTATTAAGTTTTTGGATTTTGGGCCCCATTTTTAAATTTGTCCACATTGAGGTCCAAAGGGTCCAAAATTTAACTTTGTTTGATTTCATCAAAAATTGAATTATTGGGGTTCTTTGATATGCCGAATCTAACCGTGTATTTAGATTCTTAATTTTTGGTTCCGTTTTCAAATTGGTCTACATTAAGGTCCAAAGGGTCCAAAATTAAACTTAGTTTGATTTTAACAAAAATTGAATTTTTAGGGTTCTTTGATATGCTGAATCTAAACATGTATTTAGATTTTTGATTATGGGCCCAGTTTTCAAGTTGGTCCAAATCGGGGTCCAAAATTAAACTTTGTTTGATTTCAACAAAAATTGAATATATGGGGTTCTTTGATATGCTGAATCTAACCATGTATTTAGATTTTTGATTTTTGGGCCCCGTTATCAACTTTGTCCACATTGAGGTCAAAAGGGTCCAAAATTAAACTTTGTTTGATTTCATCAAAAATTGAATTCTTGGGGTTCTTTGATATGCTGAATCTAACCATGTATTTAGATTTTGGATATTGGACCATAATAGGTGAATGTCAAATTTAAAATTTTTAAGTTCTTAGACCACATTCATTCTGTCTCAGAAACCTATGCTCTGTCAAATATTTAATCACAATCCAAATTCAGAGCTGTATCAAGCTTGAATGTTGTGTCCATACTTGCCCCAACTGTTCAGGGTTCGACCTCTGCGGTCGTATCAAGCTGCGCCCTGCGGAGCATTTTATTAAATTTTGATATACTGATTACAACTAGTTTATTCAGCCAAAATATCTAATAAAATATTGTCTGATTTGACTTTCTAACTTTTCAGGTTATGGGTAACACAATATTTGGTAAGATTGTGAGAGATGAATATGCAGCCAGAATATCTAATCTACAGATGTATGATATAATCAGGTATGTAAAGACAAGATACTTTGTCATCTATCAGATATATTATATGTATGGAAAGTGCATTGTTATCTATTAGGCAAAGTTCTTTCTTGTCTGTCTGTTTTATAACCGCCTCGGTGGTCTCGTGGTAGCGTGTTTGCCTCGAGTGCGGGAGGTCAGTTTCAAACCAAAGACTTTAAAATTGGTATTTGCTGCTTCACCACTAAGCATTAAGGAGTAAGAGCAAAGACTGGTCGGCTCGAAGTCAGAATAATGTGTCTGAGTAAGGTGACATGTCTTCTTGCGGACTGTTACCTTGTGAACTAGCATGTAAAAATTCCGGCTCAGCGTGTCAGTCTAGTACAAAGCAGGGTTAATATACATATTACATTAACATGTTCTCATCCTGAATATGCATATCAATTTGACGGAACGTTAAGCAGCCATCCATCATCATCATCTGTTTTATAATCTGCATTTGTTTATTGGATAAATCAACACATTAACATTTAAGTAGCATAGTTCTACAACATATACTTCTTTAAAGGCCCAGCTAGTCTTCTTGCCCAATGTGAACATTATATTCTAAGTGTCTTCATTTGCTTTCTTGTAATATCAATGATAAAGTAATTGCAGTGTGTGAATTATTTGAAAGCAATTTTAATCTATAGTAATATTTTTATGCCCCCGCCGTGACAGAGGGAGCATTAAGATTTACCCTTGTCACAATGCTGATTACCACCAAACACAGATCAAGTTTGGATTTGAATGGTGTCACTTTCACCCTTCTCGTTTACATTTCCATTTAATTTTTTGATGTGGTACTCAGTGCAAATGTTCAAAAAATATACGGTACTAGAAATGATAAGAGTGCTCATAAGATAATATCATTTCTTAATTTTTGATTTCAGTCGTGATATTATGAGTAGATGGACCTACCCACTGGTTCCAGATAACAGTATAAATAACCATGACAACAGTTTATCATATGGTCGTCATAACGTTTATCTCAGTAAAGATGTGACACTGGCAAGGTAAACTTTCTGCATAATATTTTTTTTCTAGGAAATACAACTGGCCTGGAGATAATTAAACAGAGAACGAAGTCCTTTAATTAAATTATAATAAACACCTGATTATTTTCCCTAATATGCCCAGACCTGCTACCAAACTTTGAACATTTGGCATAGAAGGAGGTGAAAAATACAGACTTTTTAGAGCTTCTAGTTTAGATGTTCTAGGTGGTGAATGCAGTCTATGAAGGTTAACTAGATTTTAAAACAAGCTTTGAACAAAACAATCATCTTTTAGTTTTAACTACATAAACTTGTGTTGCAATGGTTTATTATATTGAAAAATATTCATCACTACATATGGTCTAACACTTTACTTTCAAATTTCACAAGTTAAATACATGTGAAATACCATTCTAAAGGAAAGACAATTACAATGAACACTTTTTAACACACCAATGATAGACCAGTAATCCTATGATATATATTTATATATTACAGAGGATGTATTTTGGAAGAAAACGTTGTTGTAGGAAGTGGATCATCTATTGGCTGTAATACAGTTATAACACAGTCAGTTATAGGCAATAATTGTAAAATAGGTAAGTTTGTAATCAGTTATAGGCAATAATTGTAAAATAGGTAAGTTTGTAATCAGTTATAGGCAATAATTGTAAAATAGGTAAGTTTGTAATCAGTTATAGGCAATAATTGTAAAATAGGTAAGTTTGTAATCAGTTATAGGCAATAATTGTAAAATAGGTAAGTTTGTAATCAGTTATAGGCAACAATTATAAAATAGGTAAGTTTGTAATCAGTTATAGGCAACAGTTGTAAAATAGGTAAGTTTGTAATCAGTTATAGGCAACAGTTGTAAAATATGTAAGTTTGTAATCAGTTATAGGCAACAATTGTAAAAAAAGGTAAGTTTGTAATCAGTTATAGGCAACAGTTGTAAAATAGGTAAGTTTGTAATCAGTTATAGGCAATAATTGTAAAATAGGTAAGTTTGTAATCAGTTGTAGGCAACAATTGTAAAATAGGTAAGTTTGTAATCAGCTATAGGCAATAGATAGACTAGATAAGCATATATTATCTTTCTTAAATTCTTTAAATCTTCATTTGTTTCTTATCAAAATTATAAGAACTTGTTCATACCATAAATCAAAAATCTCTAAGCTAAACCATAATCTATTTTATTCATGGTAATTTTTCATTCTTGAACAAAGCACTGTAGAATTTAGATTTCACTTCTTCTAGAACCAAACCTGTTTGCTACACAAACTTTGTCTTCAAGTTCTGATTTGAAATTTAGATATTTTTAAATCAAGCTGTTAGTTTTCTCTGTTAAATTGTTCACAATTTGTTGTCCCAGTGCCCTTAAAGCTTACTATGTGGTATTTGTTTTGCTTATTGTTGAATATGATTTGAAGAAGATGTAGGCTATAAGTCAATGAGACAGTTACCTAACATAAAAAAATAACTGAAAAGCATCTAGCGGTCAACATACAGTACTCAGCAGTAGACAGTGCATATTCAGTTTGTCAAGGTTTAAGTTGTCCTGTGGAAATAAAAGTTGTAGATAATTTAAAGAGAAATCATAAAAGATCTACCATCAACACTCAATACGTTTGATCCATATCAATTCTATTACCAGAAATACTCTTTTACTATACGCTGATTTCTTACGTCATTGAAACGTTTTATGGGCTAATTGGATCCCTGCATCTTTGAACTGATAAAGTAATTGTGACTGCTTGACATTTTTCAAACATCCGTCTTTATTCTTATGTACATAATCCAACCCTGTCTAAAGAAATACATTAATTTTATCATTTAAAAACAGTTATCGAAGCAGTCATGAGGCAGTTATCCCCATTAGATTATTCATCCCTTAGCTCAACGTACTGACGTAGATTTTATGCCCAACAAATGCACAAATGACTTCAAATAACATCACCTAAAACCAAATACTTTGACAGAAAGATAACGATTGGAATCAAGCGAATTCTCTGACTAAGGAAAAACATTAATTCCATTGTTGTAATAACTTGTAGGTATTCACTCCCTCGTCCTTTGGTGGTAATAACCTGTAGGTATTCACTCCCTCGTCCTTTGGTCGTAATAACCTGTAGGTATTCACTCCCTCGTCCTTTGGTCGTAATAACCTGTAGGTATTCACTCCCTTGTCCTTTGGTTGTAATAACTTGTAGGTATTCACTCCCTCGTCCTTTGGTCGTAATAACCTGTAGGTATTCACTCCCTCGTCCTTTGGTCGTAATAACCTGTAGGTATTCACTCCCTCGTCCTTTGGTCGTAATAACCTGTAACTCCCTCATCCTTTGGTCGTAATAACCTGTAGGTATTCACTCCCTCGTCCTTTGGTCGTAATAACCTGTAGGTATTCACTCCCTCGTCCTTTGGTCGTAATAACTTGTAGGTATTCACTCCCTCGTCCTTTGGTCTATGGTGGATAGTTGTCTCTTCATTAATACCACATTTCCTTATTTTTACATTTTATAATAGAAGAAACAGCCAAGGCTGATTAAATATAGAACACGAAAAGAAGTTAGTTAGGTGGTCAGAATTACAACACAATTTCTGATGGATGAAAAAGAAATATGATGTAAATTTGAAAGGTTAAACATTTCAGTTCTGTAAAAAATAAACAAAATGTGACAACACCTGCAGAAGGAAACAAATTGCATGCATCAGAAATTCTACCATTCTATATATATTTTGACAGGTGAGAATGTAAAGATAACTGGATCTTATGTCTGGGATGATGTTACAATAGAAGATAACTGTGTAATAGAAACTTCAGTCATCTGTGATAATGTAACTTTGTATGATGGTGTTACTGTTAACCCTGGATCAGTCATTGCTTGGGATGTAAGTCTATAATGTTACTGTGTACAATAGTGTTAGAAAAACCTTAGTATTTCACATGATTTACCATTTTGAGAACAGTAAATTTACTGTATCAATGATATTTCATACTAGATTTGTAGCACAGAAGCACTCAGAGTTCTCACTAAGATGAGTCCATGAGTCCTGGACTCGTGAAATCTGTCATGATTCATCATTTTCAAAACTGGTTAGTCCAAAGATGCACCAAGATTGTAAAATGTTGTATTAATTGGGACCAGATATCATTATTTGATAGCGAAGGTTAAAAGATTAATCTAAATTTGATGTCATTTCCTTGCTCTATTTTGTTATGAAGATTTAAATAATAAGATATATAGCAATAACATTTCTTCTTACTGTTGGACTCGCCACGGCCAAAAATAGTCTACAAAAATCCGTAGTGAGAACCCTGAGCTGCTGTGACTACTTAACTGGTGATACCCACCAGCAGTCATGACAACAACCAGTGAATGAAAAAAAAAACATAAAAAATTTGTCTTCTGATTTGGTATGCCAGACACATGTGTTGTAAACATAAAAGGTATAAGTAGTGTCCAAATCTAAACAATTGAATTTGTAGAAAATCCTCGATAAATATATTGTGTATATTGGGGAGTATCTTCAAGTTAAAATCAGATGAGGAACCACAGGTAATGGAAATTTTACTATCAGATAGACTGAATTGATCCTTAAATAATCTTTAAATAAGGAAGTGTGGTTGTATCTGAAAACCCAAACATTCAATATGACTTTTCCTTAGCTGGATGTGAAAACCTAAACATTCACTTTGACATATCCTTAGCTGGATGTGAAAACCCAAACATTCACTTTGACATATCCTTAAGCTGAATGTGAAAACCCAAACATTTACTATGACGTATCCTTAAGCTGCATGTGAAAACCCAAACATTCACTTTGACATATCCTTAGCTGGATGTGAAAACCCAAACATTCACTTTGACGTATCCTTAAGCTGGATGTGTTAGAATATGCTTAACTAAAAATACTAATTTAGCACGAATAATTATATTGAACTTAGTTTTTTTACTGTAGGTAAAAGTTGGTCCTGGAGTACATCTGCCACAAAGTTGTATGTTACAATCACATCCTGTGGACGATGATGATGATTTTGGTGATGACCTTCCTGAAGCTGATCAAGGTCAACAGATCACAGGTATGTGTATGACTTCGAGTACAAACTACTTTTACATGTATGTATAAAACAGGTCAATTGGTTTTGTAATTTTGTGTTTTGATTGGCTCAAAGGTAATGGATTGTTGTTAACCAGATATTGAATTACAGAACAGATAATTCCATTGAGATGTAACTTATACATATTAAATAATATGACCTTAACTGCAATAACACGTAATATCCAGACAACTTTACATGTTTGGCGTTCTACATTATAAATACTGGATCATATGAATTTTGAACATTAATGTTAGTTTATTACTGTTAATTCACAAATTTTTGCAATGTTTTATTAATTGGAAAATTTTGACATGAATTGATATCGCAAAATAGAAACTTGCATTGTACATTTCGCTAGCATTATTTGAATATATCATTTCCTGAAATCTTAATATTTAAATGTTTTTTTGTCTATTGTTCAACATTTAATAAATGAATGGAAATGTTTCTGGATTTACAGTATTCATAGGAAGCCATTTCAATTTGTTTTTTGTTTGCCTTTATTGCAATTTTTTTTTAAATCTATTTCTGCTGTTAAATTTTTAATATGAATAAAAGGAGATGTGCTGTATGAGACAACAACCAAACATCACAAAAACTTAAAGACATCTAAAGGTCAAAATAAATGTTTCATCAATTTCATGACAATAGTCATTACACTGTTGATCTTTAAATTGTTCAAAGACTTGGAAAGCAGTGAATAAATAAGAACAGAAAATCATAGATCCGCAAACAACATCAACTTCCCAAAAATGACAAAAGACAAAAAAAAATATCAGAATCGGACAAAAGACAACCACTAACTAAAGTAAGTTTTTCTTTCAGAATCTTCTCCAGATTATGGTGCAAAGAGTAAAGCGTATGAATATAGGGCCCCTTGTGACAGTGATGAAGAAGATGAAGAACTTAGACAGGACATTTGGGGCCTTACACTACATTCAGATGATGATATAAGTAGTGTAGATTCTCATAAAAGTGATGAATTCTCTGACGAAGAGGAAGAGATGCAGGATGAAATTTCAAGTAAGAAGACTGGTCTCCTGTTACAGTAAAATGATAGACTGGTCTCCTGTTAAGAAAGATAATATCTGTATTTTTAGTAAATAATTTAATAGACTGGTCTCCTGTTAAGTAAAATAATGGACCCATGTTTCTGTAGTAAGTAAAATAATAGACTGGTCTCATCAGTAAAATAATGGATTCGGGTATTAGAATGTATTCTCGTAAATAATCCTAATAGGAAAACTCTTCAATGAGGTTTTGTTCAATTTTCAGTCATAGTAATGTTTATAGTTTAGTTTTAGTCTTTTTGTTTTTTATGAATGTCATGTGAACTTTAACCTTATTTTGAGTAGTAGACCATTGTATTATTTATGTGACAACATTCTCTAGATGAGGTTAAATAAATATTGTTAATATAAATAAGAAGATGTGGTATGAGTGCCAATGAGACAACTATCCATCCAAGTCACAATGTGTAAAAAGTTAACAATTATAGGTCAAAGTACGGTCTTCAACACGGAGCCTTGGCCCCCATCGAACAGCAAGCTATAAAGGTCCCCAAAATGACTAGTGTAAAACTATTCAAACAGGAAAACCAATGGTCTAATCTATATAAAAAAAGAGAAACGAGAAACCACATCAACAAACAACAACCACTGAACAACAGGCTCCTGACTTAGGACAGGTTCATCATACAGTAATTACTTGCAATGTTAAATGTTAGATGTTGGAATACTCATAAAATGACAAATTTAAAAGATGTTGAATATCATATTCTAATGCTGGTTCTTAATTTTGAAAAACAGATAACTTTATCATTTATTTAAAACAATGATATATTGTTTGAATTATACTTGTAGTGTTTTATGCAGAAATGATAGATCAACTGAGAAGATCAGAGGAAGAAAACATTAGCAATGAAAACATGATTCTGGAAATTAATTCACTAAAGTAAGTCAATCAACCAAAAAGGCTCAACAAATATAAAAATAATTGAGATCAAATAAAACAAACACAACAAACAAAACAAAATGTTGAAAAAAAAACAAAGCAAAAGATAGTGAAAAATGAAAATTTAAATCTAAGCAAAGACTTGTAAAACAAAGAGTTTGTGTTGATATTTATTGTCTCATCTACAGGCAGTTGTTAAATTTCCTTCCAATAAAAATCCAAACATGTTCTCGTTCTGAGATGCTTGCCTCAAGAGCAGGAGTTGTTGGGTTTGATCCTTGGCCAGGTACATCCAAAGACTTCAAAATTATATATTGGCAGCTTCTTCCCAAAGTACACAGTATTTAATAGCAAAAACAGATTGGTCAGCTCTGAGTCAGATGGTCAGCTCTGAGTCAGAATAATGTCAGGGTTCTCTTTAAAGTGTGTACACACATCCTGGACACAGTTTTTATACCTGGAAGTGCCATTTAATGAACACATGCATCCTGATTACATTAGCTGAGTCCTGTCAACAACAAGATTATCCTTCAGCAGTTAGAAAGTGTTCGAAAATGTGCTTTTTGTCAGTCTTTAACTGGAAATTGACATATGCTTTCATTTATTGCTACGGATAATGTTAATCCTGAAAGAGTCGAAAAAATAGAGAATGCAATCATGATCAAGTGATTATTAACTTACGCTAATGGGATAAAACCTGAGGATATCAAAATATGTTTACATTAGATAATGATTACCTATTTACCATCAATAAAGTTATCGAAAACTTCAACTACCGTAATTATCAAATGATTGCCAGTCAATATACAGGTGTTCATATTTGATAATAAGATTATGTAACACACTGGAAACTATGTAAACAATTGTAAATGAATAAAAGGTAGAATCATCAATTTTCATTGGGTATTATTGATTTCAAAGATTTACCTCTAAATTCAATTTCATTGGGATTAATTTTGGTTTAGTCCAGTTTTTGAACGTACTATTCCTTGGGTTTTTTATTCTGTGAATGATATTTTTCCTTGAAATAAGATAAAATTTCTGCTTTTACTGAGTACTAGTATGATGCATTTGAAAGGAGAAATATTGAAAAACAACAGGAATGAACTTGAGAACTTCATAAATATGAAGTTGCAGTACATTTAATATTTATACAAAACTGAATTTGTACATTTACATTGTTATGCATTCTGGGTATTTTCCATTGCGATAAAATAACAGAATTTTATAATAAATATAGATTCTACCACTGCATCAAGTGTGATACAATATTTATCCACTAGAGACAGTTAAATTTTCAATTTAAAACTCGAGACTTGATGAGCGTTTTAAATATTTAAAATAACTGTCAAGAGTGGATAAATATCGTACTGCACAAGATTTGGTGGTGGAATCTGTTTCTCTAATGATTTATAGACGATATACAGACAATTTTAATCCTTCTTTTCGAATGATCTGCAAAAAGATGTGTTCTTTCGATATGACGTCATCAGGCGTGATCGCCTTTTTTCATGACGTCATAATCGAATTTTGACCAATGAAGAACTGAGATCAAACGAACCACATGTTGATTAAATAAAAATAATCAACAGGTCAGGAAAAGGATAAATCTTGTAAGAATTAGAGAAATTGGATTATCCAATCTTTTTATTGAATTGGTAAATCTGCAAATTGACGGCATAAGAAAAAGATTCAGCATCAACCTTGGTCATATGGTTAGTGAAAGTTTTTTTGGAGCCAACCTTATATTGATGGAGTATATTTAAATGATTTTTCAGATACATTTAGAAGTCCTAAACATGCACAAAAACAGACATTAATATTCTGGTTTTTTTCTAGGCATGCTTATAATATAGCTATAAAAGATCTTCATGGAATGGTTCTGAAGTCCCTGATAGATCTCCCATTCAGACAAAACACAGATGGGCAGCAATTATTAGTTGATATTAAAAAGGTGAGACTTTGAAGCAGATTGAAAATTCTTTCAACCCAAATTATTATTTTTGGTGTGTGTCTTGATTTTTCATATAGAATTGAGGGAAAAAATTTAATGTTAAACTGGATTGAAAATATTTCAGCTAGGACAAGATTTTCAAAATATTTCAATAGAAATATATCTTTGAGGTATAAATTTTTTAAATAAATTAAAAAAAATAATGGTTACTGGGCAAAGCTAGTGGTTAATTGGCAATTTTAATTCCAGGCTTTTGCATTATGATATTTCTGAACATATGTGAGTCAAATTGTCACAATTTTTGGCAAATTCCCTCATTTTATGGAATTTTCTCTCTTTTTATACGACCGCAATAAAAATTTTGTGGTCGTATATTGGTATGACGTTAGCATCGTCGTCGTCCGAAGACACATTAGTTTTCGCACTCTAACTTTAGTTTAAGTGAATGGATCTCAATGAAATTTTACCATAAGGTTCAATACCACAAAAGGAAGGTGGGGATTGATTTTGGGGGTTATGGTACCAACAGTTAAGGAATTAGGGGCCAAAAAGGGGGCCAAAAATAAGCATTTTTGTAACTTCCAGACATAACTTGTGTGTAAGTGTATGGATCTCTCTGACATTGTACCACAAGGTTCCATATCACAAAGGGAATGCTGGGATTGATTTTGGGGGTTATGGTACCAACAGTTAAGGAATTAGGGGCCAAAAAGGGGCCAAAAACAAGCATTTTTCTAGTTTCATGACAATAACTTGTGTGTAAGTGTATGGATCTCTCTGACATTGTATCACAAGGTTCCATATCACAAAGGGAATGCTGGGATTGATTTTGGGGGTAACTGCCTCCAAATTTTAGGAATTAGGGGCCAAAAAGGGGCAAAAAACAAGCATTTTTCTAGTTTCATGACAATAACTTGTGTGTAAGTGTATGGATCTTTATGAAATTGTACTACAAGGTTCCATATCACAAAGGGAAAGCTGGAATTGAGTTTGGGGGTAATTGCCCAAAAATTTTAGGAAAAAGGGGCCAAAAATAAGCATTTTTCTTGTTTCCAGACAATAACTTGTGTTCAAGTGTATGGATCTCTCTGAAATTGTACTGCAAGGTACCATACCACAAAGGGAAGGCTGGGATTGATTTTGGGGGTAATTCCCTCAAAATTTTAGTATTTAGGGGCCATAAAAGGGCAAAAAAACAAGCATTTTTCTAGTTTCAGGACAATAACTTGTGTGTAAGTGTATGGATCTTTATGAAATTGTACTACAAGGTTCCATATCACAAAGGAAAAGCTGGGTTTGAGTTTGGGGGTAATTGCCATAAACGTTTAGAAATTTGGGGCAAAAAAACAAGCATTTTTCTAGTTTCAGGACAATAACTTGTGTGTAAGTGTATGGATCTTTATGAAATTGTACTACAAGGTTCCATATCACAAAGGGAAAGCTGGGTTTGAGTTTGGGGGTAATTGCCCTAAACGTTTAGAAATTTGGGGCCAAAAAACAAGCATTTTTCTAGTTTCCAGACAAAAAACTTGTGTTCAAGTGTATGGATCTCTCTGAAATTGTACTGCAAGGTACCATACCACAAAGGGAAGGCAGGGATTGAGTTTGGGGGTGATGAATCATAAGGGGTTCAACAAATTTTTTTGGGGGGGGGATTTTTTTTTCTTTTTTTTTCTTTAAAATTTTCCATTTTAAATTGGTTATTTCTGATTTATATATAAAAGCAAATAATAATGATATGGTTTGAATAGGTAAATTCAAAATTTTTAAGTTCTTAGACCACTTTCATTCTGTGTCAAAAACCTATGCTGTGTCAAATTTTAATTACAATCCAAATTCAGTGCTGTATCAAGCTTGAATGTTGTGTCCATACTTGCCCCAACTGTTCAGGGTTCGACCTCTGCGGTCGTATCAAGCTGCGCCCTAGGGAAGCATTTTATTTCTGGCTGTATTACCAATGGCTGGCTGGTTGACTGATTGAAATACAAACCCTGTGTCCACACTTCACTTTAACCAGGATCTGACAACTCTCCATTTCACTTTATGTTTTAAAAGAAGTAAATTTTCTCAAATAAAAATGTACTGTCATAACAGTCTGAACGAAAAAATGTTGCAGAGTGTTCTGTGGTACCAAGAAATTATAATTAGCACTCTGCAAAAAAGTGAAGTTATGAAAAGAAAATATCTTTAGTACCAGTAAAATAAAAAAAACAAGCATACAAGTTAAACAATTTCATAACAAATGCTACTACTGTCAGAGAAAAAAAAAATAGCAATTAATTCTCAAGTTATCTCCCTTATGCTATAAGAAATCAATGTATCAACTTGCAGATCATAAGATTATTAGTGTCCTAACAATTACAGAAAAAATACACAGGAAATGTTAGCTGCAAGATCTTAATTAAACCCCCCAAAAAAAATAGTAATTACACCTAAGAAAATTTTCATAACTTTTTTGTTTGGGTAAAGTTCACACTGTGTAGCATCACCACCGGATATAGGTACCCTTGAAGCGAAACAATGACAGCAAAAAATACCTATTCTAATCTCTGTACTGTAAACAGCAATTTATCCACTTTATTTACATGAATTTCTCTGTGTAAACAAAAGTTTATTTTGAAATACAGTGTTGTTCAAGCTTAAGGTAGATGGGGGGTCAAAATAAAAATCCATAGAATTTTTTAATAATTTGTTAAAATGTAGTTAATATCATGCTTTTTTCAAAAATATAACAAAAAGTATGACTCACCGGGGGTTTTTCACGCTACATGTTGTGCAAAATTGTCAGATTTTGTATAGATTATGCATGGAAAACCCAATCTTGTGTGATAAAAAGAAAACTAAACTATAGAATTTTAAATATGAGAAGATAGCTCTAATAATATGCTTTTTGATAAGAAAAAGAAAAAAATGGGGTCACCGGACTCATTTTCTTGGTACATAATAAAATAGGTAAATTGATAACACATTCTATTATAAAAGTTACTTGATCTGAGTTATCTCCCCTTATGTGGCAAAGTTGAAAAAAATTGAATCAAACAAAAATATTCTGAGTTTTTTTTGTGAAAACAGCCATAAAATATGTTAAAACACACAATTTTCTATATTATGCCTTGTATGGTCAAAATCAAATTTTTTAATTATTTTTTTTTACCTATCTTAATTAAAGAATTAAGTACAAGTAAATTTAGCCATATAAAAATATCTGTTTACTGAATACTCCTTAACTTGCATATAACCTTTTGAACAATTACTACTATTCTGCTTTATATATATTAAACATATAAACATAAAAAAGAAATGGAAATAAATTGTTGAGTTATTTCCCTTAGATTGAATTTGTATAACCGTTTAGAAAATTTCTCCCTGCCAAGCACTCCTTAACTGTTAAAATATAGTGAGCATACACAATAATGTTAAAATGAAATTAAATGTTTAACCTGTATAATATGTTTTTGCATGGTTTTTTAAAAGTAAATAATGTGTCTATTGCTACAACACATTTACTTTTAATTTCATTTTGTTTCAGAATTTAACCAAACATTTACCACTATTAAAAAATTACATAAAGCCAAATTCAACAGAGCCTCAAATGGATGGATTAATGGCATTAGAGGTATGTACCATGTGGGATAGGGTTTGGTATAAATGCAAGCAAATTATAATCATGATCATGATTTTGATATTGTATTGACCACATGGAAAAAGGTTTTTGTTAAATGACAAATTACAGTGGAATAACCCCATAGTAGTACTGTGGATTTATCATAGTTCATGAGGTATTAATTTTTATGGATTTAGTGGGAAAAGTTTAACTTTATTAAAATCATGAAATTTAATAGTTATCTATGATGACTCCTTCCAACTTCAACTGTTTATATCAAAATAAAGAAATGCATGTGTGTTGTTTGTTACACATTTCCGTCACATTTTTTCTGCAACTGCAATTCATAGCTTTTTGATACATTGCACATGTTAAGTTACAGATTGCCACAGTTTTAATGATAACATTACACATGTTAAATTATAATTTCAGGAATTTTGTCCACAAGAACCAAGAACAAACAGTTCTTGAAAGATATTACACATGTATTATAGAAAGTCACTATTCTAATGATTACTTAACACATGTTAAATTAATATTTTAGGAGTTTAGTCTACAAGAACCAAGAATCAACACAGTTCTAGTCAAGATATTACACATGTTATATGATATGGATGTGTTAGAGGAACAAGTATTGTTTAGATGGCATAAGTCTATACCTCAAGCCGAGGATGTACCTGAAAGGGAAAGGTTAAGGAAACAGGTCAGTGTGTAGATTTAAGTGGAAGGTTAAGGTCTTTTACAGTTCTTGTGTTTTGTCCCTTTATAACATTATATGCAAGCGGGGGCATCATCTGTGTCCCATGGACACTTTCCCCATTTATTTTATATGCATCTTTTTTTTGGCATAGCAGCTGTTTTGTTTAATCATTATTGTTATATATATCTATTTGTATATACTAATTAAATGCTGGGAAAAGAAATGAAAGAAGACATTAAAAATATTTTTTTTTAAATGTATTTCAGCCTATGCAATAACTGCCTTAGTCTTATGTTGTTATCTCAAAAAAGGATGGGTTTTTTTATCACACAAAATTGACTAAAGGCTTAAAAATACTAGCTTATTCCCTAGTTAGAGGTCATCAAATAGACTTTACCACCTTTCTTGTACAATGAGCTTAAACTTTTCACAACTTGCTCTGTTTGAATAAAGGAATTCATATTTCAACATGAAAAAGCCAATAGTTCTGAAAGATATTTAGGCATACCCACAATATTATGAAATCTTGTATGCATATCATGCTACACTACTCATAATTAAGTTACATGAAATGAAGCATTATTATACCCACCGCTTTAAAAAAGTGGGGGTATACTGTTTTACCTCTGTCCGTCCATCCATCCAAATGTTCATCCGTCAGTCAGTCCGTCTGTACCATGAATATTTTTCGTCGCATCTTTCTCAGGAATAACATTACAAGGATTTCTGAAATTTGGTATCAGGGTTTATATGAGTCAGCTATACTGTGTGATGCGTTTTCAGATTCATCACTCAACAACTTCCTGTTTACCTTATACTTTTAGTGGGGTGGGGATATCATTAGTGAGTAGTAGCTCACAGATTCACTTGTTCTTTATTAAGTTAAATCTGCTCTGCATCTAAGCTACTATTAAAATACGATTTTTTTTCTCTACTTTTTGTAGGTGGAGCCACTTATAAAATGGTTACAAGAAGCAGAAGAAGAATCTTCAGAGGATGAATAATAAATATAAAAGATGTGATGTACTGAAATGAAAAGTTTATTTGATAAAATCACTAAAATTAATAATGATACTGTAATGCTGACTTCTGTGTCTTATTACAAAATTACTTAGTGTCATATTAGTCTCACCTGCAACAAAAGTAACATCAACAACTGTTTAAGGTTGTGATTAGGTCAGTTTAAGAGGTATCTCTAAGTAAGTAATGTGAAATTTGGTATGTAAATAGGTGATAGTCATTAGCAATGGGATGACTTGATTTAATATATTGATTCAATGCAAGGTGTACATATTTATGCTGGTAACTTTATTGATAAAAACTTATTTCAAAACTCTATGGTATATTTTAAAGAAACTATCTGTTAAACTGTGTTATTTGAAATATACATGTAAGTACATATTGGCTTATTTTCATTATTTTCAAGATAATTGAATGAGAAGCTTGTTACACAGAATTTGAAAAAAAATGTTAATCTTAGCTGCATATTGTTAACAAAATTTTTGGAGTGTCCAACATCATGAACGTAGTCCTTAGCATGTTACAATTATTTTACCTATTTTTATACGACCGCAAAAATTAAAAATTTTTTCGTCGTATATTGGTATGACGTTGGCGTCGTCGTCGTCGTCGTCCGAAGACACATTGGTTTTCGCACTCTAACTTTAGTTTAAGTGAAGGGATCTCCATGAACTTTTACCATAAGGTTTAATACCACGAAAGGAAGGTTGGGATTGATTTTGGGGGTTATGGTACCAACAGTTAAGGAATTAGGGGCCAAAAAGGGGCCAAAAATAAGCATTTTTGTAACTTCCAGACAATAACTTGTGTGTAAGTGTACAAATCTCTCTGACATTGTACCACAAGGTTCCTTATCACAAAGGGAAGGCTGTAATTGATTTTGGGGGTAATTGCCTCAAAATTTTAGGAATTAGGGGCCAAAAAAGGGGCAAAAAACAAGCATTTTTCTAGTTTCATGACAATAACTTGTGTGTAAGTGTTTGGATATTTCTGAAATTGTACTACAAGGTTCCATATCACAAAGGGAAAGCTGGAATTGAGTTTGGGGGTAATTGCCCGAAACGTTTAGGAATTGGGGGCCAAAAAGGGGCCAAAAATAAGCATTTTTTCTAGTTTCCAGACAATAACTTGTGTTCAAGTGTATGGATCTCTCTGAAATTGTACTGCAAGGTACCATACCACAAAGGGAAGGCTGGGATTGAGTTTGGGGGTGATGAATCATAAGGGGTTCAAAAAATTTGGGGGGGGATTTTTTTTTTTCTTTTTTTTTCTTTTTTTCCTTTTTTTTTTCTTTTAAAATTTTCCATTTTAAGTTGGTTATTTCTGATTTATATTTAAAAGCAAATAATAATGATATGGTAGGAGATACACACCAAACAGGATGTGTAAATTATTATTTAATAAGTATTGTGCAATAGCAAGAAATTTTCAATTGCACAGTATTGCACAATAGCAAGAAATCTTCAATTGCACAGTATTGCGCAATAGCAAGAAATCTTCGATTGCACAGTATTGCGCAATAGCAAGAAATATCCAATAGCACAATATTGCGCAATAGCAAGAAATTGTCAATTGTACAGTATTGCGCAATAGCAAGAAATATTCAATTGCACAGTATTGTGCAAAAGAAGATTCTTCGTATAAATTGCTTATTTCTTGATCAATTTCAATGGGGTTTTATTCTTGAATTCTTGGGGTTCTTTAATATGCTGAATCTAACCGTGTATTAAGTTTTTGGATTTTGGGCCCCGTTTTTAAATTAGTCCACATTGAGGTCCAAAGGGTCCAATATTTAACTTTGTCTGATTTCATCAAAAATTGAATTATTGGGGTTCTTTGATATGCCGAATCTAACCGTGTATTTAGATTCTTAATTTTTGGTTCCGTTTCAAATTGGTCTACATTAAGGTCCAAAGGGTCCAAAATTAAACTAAGTTTGATTTTAACAAAAATTGAATTTTTAGGGTTCTTTGATATGCTGAATCTAAACATGTATTTAGATTTTTGATTATGGGCCCAGTTTTCAAGTTGGTCCAAATAGGGGTCCAAAATTAAACTTTGTTTGATTTCATCAAAAATTGAATTCTTGGGGTTCTTTGATATGCTGAATCTAACCATGTATTTAGATTTTGGATATTGGACCATAATAGGTGAATGTCCAATTTAAAATTTTTAAGTTCTTAGACCACATTCATTCTGTGTCAGAAACCTTTGCTGTGTCAAATATTTAATCACAATCCAAATTCAGAGCTGTATCAAGCTTGAATGTTGTGTCCATACTTGCCCCAACTGTTCAGGGTTCGACCTCTGCGGTCGTATCCAGCTGCGCCCTGCGGAGCATTTTATTCACATCTAAATTTTCAAGTATACCAGTTTGCTTTTATCACGTGAAAATTCAGGAAAGGCTTGTACACAATGCTTATTACAACACAACACAGAGCAAGTTCGAATTTGGGTGGTGTCACTTTCTTCACTGTTCTCGAGTTATGTTCCTTTATAAATAGAAATTGCTAAATTTGCTCTTACTTTAGCTTGCCTCAACCAAATGTTATGAAACTCTTACATAATGTTTATTACCTCCAAACACAGATCAAGTTCGAATTTGGGTGGCTCCACTTTCACCATTCTGATTTCTGAATTTTCTGCTGTATATTTACAAGCGTAGGCATCTGTGTCCATTCTTTTTTTATTTTATACAATTTTAAGAAAAGTTCGTCTTGATTTCTGTTCTTGTTTCTGCGGTTTCTTGTTCTATTCACAATCAATGTTTACATTGGGAAAAGGTGTGTTTAAATTTGCTAAGTAACTTAATTTCAAAAGTGTTAATCTTTGATGCATATCAATCCATTCCCTCAGAATTTTTTCCTTGAATTTCTCTGATCTAGTGCTAACACTTTTGAAGATAAGATTTTGAAGTGAAAGGATGTGTTTCTGTGAGCTCCTGATTGATAATTACCATGGCTTTACTAAACAGTTTTACTGTTGTTAAATCACTGTTTAATTCTTTTAATGCAACTGTATTTTTTAATGAAAGTAGTGAAAGTAGTGAATTAACTGATCAAGTTTTAGAAAATGAAAGTATTTCATTGAATTTATCAGCAGAAAATGTACCAGACTTTTTGCAAATATCTCCAAAGAAACATAGTGTAACTATTCATGTCTCATCACATATGATACAGGATGTTCAAAGAATTTTGGATAATGATTTAAATTTTATAAGGAGTCACTTTCAATATGGAAATATATATAAAACTGTGAACAATTCAGTGACAGTAACACTATACGTAAGTACTGGTACAATTAATGTGCAAGGTCGCAATGTTTTTACTTGGATTGATACTTTTGTTGTTAAATGTGAATCACTTGAAAAGGAAATTATTTCATCTCAACCAAGGTCATCAACACCAGTTGATTTTATTCAAGACATTTTCAATAGCTCAATAGATTCAAATGTAGAAAACTCTCAAATATCTGAAAATGAAAATCAAGAGAAGAGCCTCAATCTCCAAAATGATTCAACAACTGAACTGAAATCAAATTATATCAGTACCAACTCTATATACGAAGGCAAAAGTAGGGAGGACTTAATTAATATCATTAAACATCTTGAATCTGAACTAGTAGTGAAAAAATGCAATGAGCAATCAACACAAACTGAGTTTTCTGCTGTTTCTGTTGAGTGCCAAACATCACAAATTCAATATGTCAACACTTGTGATGCACCAACACAGACAAGACCTATTCCAGCTCCAAGACTTTCCAAGTTGAAACGCACAGAAAATAAATGCCCACCTGTCCTCGAACCAAAATCCCAACATAAAAACTCAAATCCAAATCCAAAAACTATCAACAACCATAGTTCAGAGAAGGTGACAAAATCAGGTGACAAAAATTTAATCATTGGATCTTCAATGCTTAAAGGGATAAGAACTTCTGGCCTATCACAGACCCACATAAGAACATTCAGAGGGGCACAAATTAATAGGATATCAAAGGAAATCGTGAATATGGACCTGAAATCATATAAGAATATTATCCTTCAAGTTGGTGGAAATGACATAAGTGGTAGAAAATCCTTGAATAATTTTGAAATGGAATATGAAAGTTTGCTCCTAGCAGCTCGTACTTGTAGTAACTCTGACTGTAACATCATAGTCTCAGGACTCCCTCCCAGGATTGATGTAGATGTTTACAGGGCAAATGTAGTTTTAGAGAGATTATGTCAACACCTTGGACTAGTTTTTATAAGACAGTATGAAATGTATATGAGTGACAGCTTCAATCAAAACAAACATTTCTATGTTCATGATGGTATTCATTTCAATCCAAGAGGAACATCAAGATACATCAGAACAATAGATAACATAATAGGAATAATCAATTCACATGATGACTGTGAGAACTGTGGTGAACTTAACCATAAAACATCCTTCTGTAGATTTAATATGAAAATTAAATGCTTCAAGTGTAATAGGTATGGCCACAAACTAAAATTTTGTACTGCTTGAAAAAATGGCAAAGAAGAAAATGCCAATTTTACATCTGTTTCAAACAAATTTGATGTACTGACAATATTATGTTCTGAATGCAATTTATTTCCATGCATGTGTAAATTATTTTTTTTGTCACAAGGGCTTCAGATTTCTGAGATAAAGAAAACTAGAAACACTAGAAAAACAATTAAAGAAAAGAATGAGAGTCATTTCTCACTTGACACAACCCAGGAAATGTCTACTGTCAAACTTTATAGTTCTAATGATGGGTTGATTAGTTCTGATAATTTTAACACTGAATCTCAGACATCTGGACAGGATACATTACTTGGTATTAAACAGCATGATACAAACTGTGTAATGTTTGATGATGAGTCTAATGTAGATAATTTTTTGTTACCTCTCCCTCAGGTCAACATAATGATTGATGTGAAATTATCCTATGTCTCTGTATTTACTTTAGCAATTATTGTTTGTATATATTATCTAATCAATTTAGAAAACCATGCATTGACAGGGAAACAAATAGACTCTAATGATAAGATTTTTAATTCTTATGGTTTTAGT